TGTAGACTTTGACATTCCCGTGTAGCAGAATTCCTGTTATCTTTCTATCTTTCCGGAGAGCTGCTATGTTCAACGCGGTCCCGTATCCACTTGCCCGAGAATCGATATCTCCTCCCTTCTACAGCAGTCGCTCAACGACCGCCCCTTGCCCAAGCCACGACGCTATCATCAGATGTGTAAAATCCGCAGGGAATGGGTCGTACTGGTTAGTATTTCTCCAGTATACCTTGAGCCATGTCAGAAACTTTCTGGATCCACGTTTGCAAATCGGCCCCATAAATCCGAATAACTCCATCTGACTGGTTTGTGATTCTCTAAAGTGGTCCGGCCAATGGGTGGCCGCGTAATCGAGTAGAGCATATTTTTGCTCATAAGCTGCATATTCCGGGCTTGTTTTGTCGGGACGGTTTATAGCTAATGGGTCATCTTCGAAGTCCTCCAGTGAAAGATAGGATATGCAGATGTCAGCCAGTAAAAAGTTAGAATCCTTCAAACACAGGGTGTACTGCCAATCTCCCCCACCCGGAGAAGACCCCTTAATCAGGAACTCCCTCGCGGTCTGATGAACGAGGTATATCTTTGAATCAATAACCCGGACGAAGAGCCCACACAAATATTTCACTGAGTTCTGGAACTTAGGTGAGAGATCCCCGAGGTCCTTGATTGACCTGTGCTTGTGACTGATTCCAACCGCGGCGTTCATTTCTTGAAGTGTAAGGGGCCTTGCCGCTGCTACCACTATACCCAGAATTTTTCGGGCTTTGACGGGGTTTCTGCTTTTGTTAAGAATCTTAGTATATAACTCAGCTATATTGGGCGGTGCAGTGGCGACAATGCTGGTAAACTCCTCCACCGAGTCATCATCACTTTCTTTCAAAATATCGAGAACAAGAGAAACCCAAAGGAACGTCCGATCGGCGGTAGATTTGAGGAGATCCCGCAAATACCCCAGCTTCCCAGGCCGCTCCCAGTCTGACTCCAGGTTATTAACGCCCTCATCTATGACACGGTTGACGTCACGAGTAATAGAGCTAACTTCGTCCTCTCCCTTTAGCCGGATCGTAGTTGCGGGTGAGCCAAGTTCTCTCTCAATATTGTGGTACGGGCGACCTGTAACAAGGAACTTCAAAGGTACATCGGAAGCCTGGCGCGAGCTAGGGAATCTGGCGACATGGTGAATAAGGCGCTCCTGAGTCACTCTTTCGCACTCGTCCAAGGCATCCAGCACACAAATTACATCCCCACACTTTTCCTCAGCTACGGCGTTCACCAAAATATTCCACAATGTGTCCACCTCCTCCGTAAACCTCCTTCCTTTAACCTTGAACTCTTCCACAGCGTATACGTAGAGAGATCTTTTCTGCTCAAATAGCTGATGTAGTATGGCGCAAAGAGCGAATGTTGCGCTCCTCTGTTCCTCGTTGTCATCTTTAAAAAAGAAGTAGCAAACTGCTGCCTTCGTTTCAGCTCTCAGATGATTTGCGAGGAATGAAGCTATGACGGATTTTCCGCAGCCTGGGTCCGCCGATAACCAGAGAAGACCACATGTCTTTTTTTCCAACCAGGCCTTATATTTTGTATGACCCGTAACCCATGTGCACGTTTCCTTGACTGGGTCACGAATACGATTTCTGTGCAAGCCGTATGCAGACGTGTATAGGCATTGCAAAATATCGCTGTAGTTCGGGGACGAGTCCGTGCCGCCGTAGTAGTTAGTGGTGTTATAGGAGTTGAGGTTACTGCAGTTCATGTTATCGGAAATCGCGAGGTTACCAGAGATGGTAGTGTTATGAGAACCATAGTTGCCGCTATGATCGCCTTGGATATGGTTGACCGCCGAGCTCGAAGTACAGCTACTGATATCAATTGTCCGAAAGGCCATTGTATACAAAAGACTATCTCTGGACATACCATTCGGGTGGAGGAATGCCTTCGGAAGGAGTCCGTGATTGTTGATCGCTCATCTTATCGAGAGAATCTTGGATCTGGAGAAGTTGCGTTTCTGCCAATTTCTAATAGGAATTGATTGTGTTCTTCGATACTCGCAAAATTATTTCCAACCAGGCAAGGAAGAATAGAAGGGCTGAAGATTTGGGAGCCAGGAGACTGCCGGTTATCTTGAGGGTGAAAAATAGTTGTCCCCCAAAATCCACAGCACAGCTGCCCCGCACTGCTCAATTATTCATTCACAGGAGTACCCGCCGCAGGTGGCTTTCCACCCGATGCGCAGACATGCCTGTGCGAGTATTAATAGTAATTTACGATGATTCCCTAAATCCCACCAATAGATACAATTCCCCACCCTGACCTGCCCACACAGCTATGCGACAGATAATTTTAAATTAGGCCGAATTCAATTTACATAAATACTCGTACAGTACAAGTACAAACTTAAATTAGCGACAAAAGAAACCTTCCGCGCCCGGTTTTTCATACAAAATCCCGATTTTCAATTTGCTGCAAGAAACAACGACAGCAAATTCCACCCTTCCGACTCTGGTAATATTAGGGGCGTCCATAGGCGGCTTAGTATTATGATTTTTCCAATCCTTATCGACGGCGCCAGATACGGATACGGTATCATGTCGTTAGCCCGTTGGGTTTCTATGCGGGATCCCGCACAAATCGGCCACCCTACTCGTATGGTTCAGTCTCCGCAGAACGATTCATAGAATTTAGCCTGATATTCAACTATATGGATCCCTAGGCTAAATACTCTTCCAAGAAAGTTAGTCATTATTTGTTGCTAGGCAGAGGCATATCGAAAATTAGTGTTTTGCATGAAAAAAGCCATGGGAGGGGAGGTGTGTTTCTCCTGTCACCACTCCCCCGCTACCACACCTAGCTGAGGGAGGTTGGGAGATTTCTGGCGTCGTTGGATAACTGTAAATTTATGGTATGATACCGTCCCTGGTGAAAGTCTTGGAGATTGGGCCGCTTCACACCAAAAATAGTCAAAGGCGTAATGACCAGTTTGCTATGATAGTTGGCCTATCCTACAACAATGTTACAATTATTGATGAGCTGTAACTGTTGAACCCCGACCGAGATTTCCGGATCCTGAATTTTTTGGTGCCATTTAGCTGATTTACTTCTTTGTTTGGCTCGCTTACAGGTCCTAACGGTATCTCTGGGCTGCGTTATTTTCAGTTCAGGGGATACCATACTATCCTCGTTATCGTAATCTAGAACCATATACTCTTTTACCCGTCCTTGAATAATACCAAAGCGATAGGATGCTGCCCGACCCCAGCTCTTCCGCTTAAGTTTTTTCCTTATTCTCACACAAGAACTATCACGCTGAAAACCACTACTCAATTATCATACTGATAGTAAAAAAGAGTAGTAAGGTGTGGTAAAAAGGAGTTTGGGCAGGGTGGTGTTGGAAATTTGAGTGAGAGGCCAGCTCCTAGCACTGTACTCTACAGAACACCAATCGGCCAGACAGATGCTGAAAGTGCAGGGCCAAAACATACTGTAACCCAATCTGTTCTAGGGATTACACAATAATCCGGCGTCTTGGCTGGGATAATGTAATTTCCGCTCACCCAGTAGGGCATCTTATGGAGAAAGCGTCCCACCTGGGGGATAGCCAATGTATGAACAGAACATTTGTTTGGTCTTGTAAAAAGATTTCTCCCCAGAATGGACTATGACTTTCAACCCGAGGAATTTCCCATTAAGACCCATGCCTCCCGGTATCACCTAATATATTACTTTTTTACTTTTTGAGATGGTGTTTATGCCACCCACCGGTAGGAGATGTGAAAGGTTGGAGATGGCTTCACATGTGGTGTATGGGTTAGGGTTCAGTATGTCCAAACAGGAAACAAAGCAGCGAGTAAACCATGAGTATGATACCAACTGTCTTCTCCACCGACGCTGCTTAGGAACCCTCAAGTCTAACAATGCCATTGTATATACGAGAGAGAGCCCCCGGAATTCATCATGCCGCTGCTGCGGTGGTTTACTTCCATTGAGTAATCATCACTATCCTCGTATTATACAAGAATCTCCCCCAACATACGCAGTCCATATGCGCTTGTGCCAGGTTTGCCAATCCCCTACTCTCCCTGTATACCTTTGTGAATATCAGACACATAAAACAAACATACATTCCCCAGTCCCCTGCCATCACCCCCCTGGCTCGCAGGCTCCGTTGGCAAGTTCACAAAGAGCACGATACCATACCATGCGGCACGATCTTGCAGCCTGTAGCGAACTCCCTGGAGCCCGCTAGCTGAGCTGGTGCAACAAGCATTTTAAATCTTGAGGGAGGTACGTCAGGGGTGGAAGGTATGTAGTGCAGAGGAGGAACAGAAAACGCTTTATTGTGCGAGATACCATCTCCCGGCCCTATACCTACAGTGGGGATTTACGGTGCGGTATTAATGGCTTATAATCTGGTAATATACTACATTCCTATCATTGGAACATCACCGACTCGATCCGTCACTGGTGGAAAAGAGGAGCAATAAGGTACACCAACCTCAAAGTTCCCGTCTTGAAACCAATCATAAATCGTAGTATCATTCTCATAGACATGCAGCGCAAAGTTATCCAGGGTGAATTAACATGAACATAACATAAACGAAAACCCCACAAAAGACACTAATCCAACCAGCCGACCTAACAGAGCCGATAGACGAAATTCCTATACTAACACCCTCCAAATTAACCGCTATCTCCTCCTCTAAAGAGACTCTCTTGACAACAACAAAAACAAAACAAGCAACAGAGATAAATGAGGAAAACCGCTTGACATCAAGATGAGCAAATAAATGGATAGATCCGCTTCGAGCCAGAGGTGGAGCAAAGCCGCAAGTAGAGGAATAGCTCAGTCCAGAATTTGAAGTTGGGTACAAGAGCCTTTTCTGTGCGATGTTAGATCTAGAGAGACCAAAAGAACCGGAGATTCCCCCGGGACGCGCCACAAACCCGATACCCTAGGCCCCCATGTGCACGAAAGTGGCCCAGGTTACAAACCCGTACGGCTCGTTGTCCCGAAGAGTCTTCACAGCTTTGTGAAAAGCGGCGGCCACCCAGTGGTGCTCATCACCATTCCCTTTATATCGGAAAAGCAAGTTGTAGAAGTCTCTTGCCACTTCACCAGAGGCTCTGTCATCTGTTTCCCACATATTCGCAAGAGTATGACTGAACCCGGCGAGCTGAAATGCGCTGGCTAGATGTATGACTTCATCAGCTAAATTAATGGAGGGATTCTTGGCTGAGTAACAGCCTGAAAGATACGCAATGTATGCGTTTTGCGCGACTATATTCGATATATCTCTAGCCAGCAGCTTATCGGCACCGTTCCCATCCGGGGTAAACAGAATCAGGTGGCTGTCAGAAGGGTTGAGAGAAGACACTCCGTGGCAGGCAAAATGGACAATCTCATGGCGCAGAATTTTCTTGAGGACTTCTGTCGGGGTTGGATGGCTCAATACTGTGGTCTCTACCGAAGTTCCAGAGGTGGCATCAAGAATATATTTCACTTCTGCATCAACACCGGGTAGATCTATCGCACCAGGTGTTTCCGCCATGGAAATGATAAGTAAGCGGGGACTCCGTTTTTTGACAATTTTTGCTTTCTTAGAGCGTTCCGCTGAAAAGGAAGCACCATACTCGTCATATAATTGGAGTTGCTTCTGACGTGCATAGGAGAGGGCTTTGATTGTAGGGATATATGTTGAAATAGCTCGGCTTAAGGTGTTGCGTGTTGATCCCGGCGAATGATCCCCAGCCGCATGAAAAGGCGCCATGCTTAATTGCCCTACTCCAATCCACCAAACCCGCTTCAAATTGGACCCCTGAACACCATCACTGACAATCGTCCCATCGTGTTCAAGCTTGTCAAAAACAGGCCCTACTGCAGAATCCCATAGCCAAATGAGGAGGTCTTTTATTTTTCTATTAACCTTGCCTCTCTTAGTCCAGCCTCCTCCTCCGAAATTAGCCACTTGCCTCATCCAGTGGGCTGTTTCCTCATGATTCAATTTCGGGAGTTCTAATGAAGTTATAGCTGAGGTGGTGACAATTACGGCATCGCTCCTATAAGTAGTGCAGTTGAAGACAACGATGGGACCATAAATGGCAATTTTCATCAGATCCTCCGGAGAGGGTGGGAGTAGGAACCTGCCATAACCAGGCAACGTCCGAATGTGAACTATTATTGCTTCCATCTCGTTTACAGCGTCCCAACGCCTAGCCGTCGCACGATTTCGGCGGTGATGCGATGCTTCGTCACCTGCATAGCATCCTTCATGCACTGCTGAGTCAATCTCAACTCGAAGGCTGTGAAATTGGCTGTATACAAGCGGGTGATCGATTCTAAGATCTGAAACTCCTGACCTTGAGTCAATAGCAACACCCATAATCGTTCCACGACCGAGTTCTAGCAAATTAAGAGCATAATAGGCTCCTCGCCCAGCTTGAAGAGCAACAGAAGCAGCATCGGAAGCTAGCCCGGAAAGCTCCGATATTATGTGTTGCTGGTCATCACGTCCCAATATTTGTAAATTGACCGCCGGCATCAAGTTAACTGCATCCTCGAGTATGGAACTTGATTCATGAAACCTTCCATCGGAATATAGTAAAGAAGCTACCCTACGAGCCGCGTTAATCCTAACCCGAGGGGGTGAGGCACTGCAATGAAAGGCCTCGCGGTAGAGGAGCAAAGCCCGATCTAAATCCCCAATGAAGCGCAGACACAAATATCTGGAGTGCAAGCCTCTACCCAAGCCGATGCACATAGCTGCTCTATCGGGGTGATCAGAGGGGGTAGCTGCTAGTCCCGCTTCGCTGTGCTCAATAGCCCTTCGGAGGTCACCAATGTCGTTTTTCCGCTCAAACCTTATTAACAACTTGATCCCCAGGCTATTATCTCTACCAGCGCGATCGGGGTGATCCAGAGGGGTAGTAGCTAACGCCTCTTCATTGTGATTAATGGCCCTTTGAAGGTCATCAAGGTCTCCGATCCGCTCAAACCTAGCCAACAATTTGATTCCCAGGCTATCATGTCTACCAGCGCGATCGGGATGATCTGGGGGTGGTAGCAGCTAGAGCCTCTTCGTTGTGATTAATGGCCCTTTGAAGGTCAACAAGGTCTCCGATCCGCTCAAACCTCCTCGACAACCCGATCCCCAGGCTATTGTGTCTATCCGCACGACTGGGGTGATCTTGGGGGGTAGCTACTAGAGACTTTTCGCTGTGGCCAATGGCCCTTTGGAGGTCGCCAAGGTCTCCTATCCGGACAAACCTGGAGGAGAACATAGCCCCCAGGTGATCATGAATGGTGACTCGGTAGGGGTGATCTTGAGGGGTGGCCGCTAGTGCCCCTTCACTGTACTTGATGGCATCCCGGAGGTCACCAAGGTCGCCTATCCGCTCAAACCGCATGGAGAGCATGCTTCCCAGATAATGATATCTAGTTGCTCGGAAGGGGTGATCATGAGGCGTAGCAGCTAGCGCCACTTCGCTATGCTCGATAGCTTTCTGGAGGTCACCGAGGTCTCCTAGCCGCTCAAATCTCTTAGACAACTTGATCCCTAGGCTGTGGTGTCTACCCGCGCGATCGGGGTGATCTTGGGGAGTTGCAGCGAGTGCCTCTTCGCTGTGCCTGATAGCTTTCTGGAGGTCACCGAGGTCTCCTAGCCGCTCAAATCTCTTAGACAACTTGATTCCTAGGCTGTGGTGTCTGCCCGCGCGATCGGGGTGATCTTGGGGAGTTGCAGCTAGTGCCTCTTCGTTGTACTCAATAGATTTTTGAAGATCATCAAGGTCTCCCACCCGCTCAAACTTCGTAGAGAGCCTGTTTCCCAAGTTATGATACATGGTTGCCCGGTCTGGGTGATCCCGAGTTGTGGCAGCCAATGCCTTTTCGGTGTGCTCAATTGCTTTTCGGAGGTCACTAAGATCTCCTAATCGCTCAAACCTCTTAGACAACTCGATCCCTAAGCTATTGTGTCTACCCGCACGATCGGTGTGATCTCGGGGGGTAGCTACTAGAGCCTTTTCGCTGTGGCAAATGGCCCTTTGGAGGTCACCTAGGTTGCCAATCCGCCCAAAGCTCCAAGAGAGCATAGCTCCCAGGTTATCGTGAACGGTTGCTCTGTACAAGTGATTTTGAGGGGCAGTAGCTAGAGCCGCTTCGCCGTGCTTAATTGCTTCCCGGAGGTCACTAACTTCTCCCGTCCGCACGAACCTCCTAGACAAAATTATCCCGAGGTTGATATGTCGGGACAAACGATCCGGGTGATCTTGAGGGGTGGCTGCTAGTGCACCTTCGCTGTACTTGATGGCATCCCGGAGGTCACCAAGGTTGCCTATCCGCTCAAACCTCATAGAGAGCATACTTCCCAGATAATGATATATGACTGCTCGGGAGGGGTGATCATGAGGCGTAGCAGCTAGCGCCACTTCGCTGTGCCCGGTGGCTTTCTGGAGGTCATCGAGGTCTCCTAGCCGCTCAACCCTCTTAGAGAACCAGAACCCAAGGCTGTTTTGTCTGCCCCTGCCATCAGGGTGATCTCGGGGAGTGGCAGCTAGTGACTCTTCGCCGTACTTAAGGCCGTCTCGGAAATCACCAAGGTCTTCCATCTGCCCAGACCTCCAGGCAAGCATTTTCCCCAGGTTATTCTGTATTGCCACTCTGTGGGGGTGATCCTGAGAGGTAGCAGACAGTGCCATCTCGCTGTGCCCAATTGCTTTCCGGAGGTCACCAATGCCCCCTAGTCGCCGAAACCTCGCTGCGAGCATGGCTCCCATGTTATTGTCTCTACTAGCTCGATCCGGGTGATTGCGAGGGATTGCAGCTAGTGCCATTTCGCTAAGTTTAATGGCTTTTTCGAGGTCACCAAGGTCTCCTGCTCGGCCAAACCTTCGATAGTACATCCCCCCCAGTCTCCCAAGAGCATTTATACGACTCGGGTCGCCGGAGTAAGTTGTTCTCACTATTTCCCCGTTTATACCTATCGCCAATTCCAAATCGTTCACGCGACCCAGACGCTCAAATCCTGCTAACATGATGTTCCAATCCCTCTGCACCCCTAGCCGAACCAGGACATCCGGAAGGCCGTCTTCCACCGCCTTTTCCATCTCAGAAATTGCTTCATTGAGGTCGCCCATATCACCCAACCGCTCATATCTTCTAAACAAACGCTCAGCGGGTAATCTGGACCAGGAATATGCACTCTCTAGCTCACGGCGCATGCCCAGCATGTTACTGCATGCTCTTGCAAAGGTGGTCGCTCTCTGTTCTGTTCTATCCATTTCGTCCATCCGCCACACCCACGCCATGTCAAGATCTACAATATCTCCTGTATGCCCAAATTTGCGCCCGAACATTTTGCAAAGCTTGGCCGACAGAATGCCTCGATCGATGCCTAAGGGGGTCGCTGCCGTGATAGTACTTTCAGCCAGCCCAATTGCTTGATTCAGGAAGCGAATGTCGTCCGTTTTCTCGTATTGAGAATAGAGAGCATCACTGGTTTCCATCGTGTCATGCGAATATTCCTGCAACCCAGTGACTTCCGGATCCTGACCCGATGTCCCACTTCTTGGGACCGCGGCATCTCTCGTGTCCGGTATTTCTGCCATCTCGTGCCCAAAATACAGGGGAACGTTGAATCTTAGCCCAGGCTATTGCTAATTCGGCACTCCGACACTGTATTTTCCCCGATTCTTGCGCGTATTATTGAGAGGAGGTTACCGATATATTTTGCTGCGGATGAGGAGCGCCCGCTGAGATGAGAACCTAACAACCAATGGAGTGAGAATTAGGGACACCTGGGACAGAAACCGAGCTTTGTCGCTACCCACCATGCCCGCTAAAGCACTTAGCCTCCTTAATATCTTTTTGGATTCAAGCATTCTTACTTCGGGATTTCTACAAGGTAAGCACCTTAATAGCCTAATGAAGCATCTGGGCTATACGTCTTTCCCCCTATCATCCGGTCCAAGGCACTGTTCCCGAACCCGAGGACCCAAAACCCTATATGAGTGTAGGGAGTTAGTGAATGGCTGGTTAAGCAGAGCTTTTTGGCATCATCTCACCCGTTTGCGTGGGGGGGCGTTCCTCTCTCCCGCAGAACCAATCTGCGTCGCCCCACTATTTCTTCCTCTTGTTTTGCTCTGGTTTCTCTCACAGGTAAATTCAGGGTTGGTGGGAAAAAAATCTATCGTAGTAGAGAGTTCTGCGAGTTGGGGTGGTGATGGCGTGTGAGGGGTGAAAAACACTCGTAAATTTAATAGCGTAGGTGCTGAGTTGTGCAGGAAACTGCCCCTACAGGTCGCTCAACTTGCTAATTATTTTGAAATTGACAACCCCCAGAAGGAGATAATATAAATGAGGAGTTGGGAGTATGAGTGCTGCTCGGTCCTTGAGTCCCTGAATCCACAGGATCGTACACGCGAGTGCGGGTATCCAGCTACATATAAGGTGCTGAGGTCTACCACCCACGCCCCACGCCTCTCAGTTATGCACACACCAGCCCCGCCTTGTTCCCTGTTTCTGCGCCAACACCGTGCTGGCAGTAAAAGCCGCTATCCCTCTATCACTCATCCTCGAGCTTTGCATCAAGTGCGTAGAGTCTCCCCCTCCGACATCGTTGCGGAGGATCCGGATTCGCCCAACGATACTATGTGTGTTGTATCTCCGACATCGGTGCAGTGGTTTTTCCCTAAATTAATATTCCGGATAGCTACGCCTTGTTGCTCATCCTGCTCAGCCCAGCCGCTTAGTTGTCCTTCAGCCCCGGCAAGTATTCGCTAATAAGCAGGCTATCATCGAGTACTCCTTGGTTTTTCACCTACCCAGATTTCCTTACCTTCACAAATGATAGAACACGTATCGCCGCAGAAGCATCTACGGTAGCCTAAAGTCTGCTGAAGTCCTCTCACTATTGGACGGGCAGTACTAGCGGAGCTGCTCACTACCGAATCAGGAGGTTTGCTCTCGTCCCATGTATCAGGTCGGTGCACCGCCGGTATGACTTTCCGAGATCGGCTGAGATTGTATTCGGCTGCAGCGCCGGTTCCATGGATGTTGGAATACCGTACTCGAGTAACCCCTCACTAATCGTAACCGTAACCCCCGTCAAAGCTTCTGGTATGGCAAATTTAACACCACTAACACCGTGCGACAATTCTACAGCCCACACTTTAACCCAAAATGGTACCGTAGCTCAGCTCTGCCAGCGGATAAACTCAGTATCCAACCATTCAATATGCTGTACTAGGACCTTACCTATCTCTATCCTCCTTGCAAAAGGAAAAAATACCAGCCGACATGATACCTAATCTACAGCACCACACAACTCCAGGCAGAGACCTTGGCCCAACGCCTACAAATTCCCTAGACAGTGATTCCAAGACACTGCACTCGAGTACAGTAACGCAAGGCACACCCTCCAACATCATACCCTTTCTGCCACCCAGTCTCTTTTTTTCTTCCTTTTTCCGAGAAAAAAAAAAAAAGTGTATCTAGGCTCGGACAATTAAGCTTAGATACACCAACACCCCGCCTGCCACCAGGACCCTATATTTCAACAGCCCAGATATCGCACTATCCCGCATGAACCCGCGAATCCCGAACCTTCCCACACTAAACCTGGCCCGTCCGTAATCGCTCGCTGTACCGGTACTTTCCCGGTCAAGGTCCCCGGATTCCGGCCGTGATCCGGGGTAGCGAGGTGCGGCCGTACCGTGCAGTACAGTAAGCAACCGACAACCCCCCAGCAGGCCTGTTTTTCCGGTCCAGGAAGCTACAGTACAGGGGGGTGGTTTTACATCTAGAAGTAGTTCCCGTTGGTGGCCGCGAAGTTCCGGATCCCCCTGGATTGAGGGATAGGAGGAAGAGATGAAGGCACTGTCCGGGCATTGCACCATATAGTACTTACGGTGGGACGATAGACCAACCCTGCCAGGATTAGATACTGCATTTTCCAGTGCCGTTACTGATCCTGCGACAAAAGTGTGAGTGCTGTGCCGGTAGGTGTGATCAATGTTGGCATAAAGGGGGGGGGGGTTAGTGATAAAAATCAACGAAGGCCTTGGAGCTCAGATATACGAACCCCCCCCCTCGAAGGTCTGAAGGAGTTCTGAAAATCTATAAAAATATGCTACAATAGCTAAATCAAGACTACAATATTATACAGCCAAAAGGAACGAGTTAAAGAGAAAAAGGTAAACAAAGAAAACTAATTCGGAATATATCCTTTTGTTGCCCTCGACACTTCTGTCTGCATTCCTTCATCAATACTATCACCTTCAAAAAAAAACTCTGATAGTTCCGAAAAAAGTGAAAAACATCAAGAAAATTAGCCTTGGTGAACCCCCCTTCGAACCCCCCCCCCCCCCCTTGATCCCGTCAAGGCTTTTGTCGCAACACTGGGTGTGATACCCTAGGCGAAGGGTAATTAAGCACAGTGACAGGGAACGGGTACATCGGGACACGGGTGCACTACCGTCGTGGGCCACCTACGGTACCGGTACCGAAAAGGGGGAAGGACATGTTATTTTATGGGGCCCATAGTGCCGGTACAATTCTTTGGACGCCTAACACCCAATCTATGCGACCAACCATGTTAGGCTGTGTATTCGCTTTTATATTGTGACGGAAACTATCCTAACACCGTACAATGTGTATGTATATCAATTGTAATCGTAATGAAACCAACGCCATGCCAAACCCAAATAAACAAAATAAACTAAACAAGAACAAGGGGAAGATCCCGAATTCCCCGAATGGGCCCAATACACTCAACCACAACCACTACGACCTCAACACCACGGAATCACACAAGACCTCGCCAAACCGACGTGGTCCCAGTATACAACTTCCGCCTCGCCCTCAACATCCTCATAAACACTACTATAAGCACACAAACCACGAGCACATATACCGCCGCCAAAACCGACCAAAACACCGAAATGAGAACAATACTCCATTCGGGCCATTCCCAGAATCCCATCTTTGTCTGCATCTTCCGATAATCCTTTTCCTCCTTGTAATAGTAGCAGTGGTAGTAAATTTTCTCCTCCTCCTTCTTTCTCTCCTCTTCCACCCTCTCCATCACGGGCGGCACTATGACAACTTTTCGTGAGGGCTTAGGCGCACGTGATGGGGAAGAAGAGAGTGGGGAAGAGGAAGAAGGAGATGGTGGGGACGAAGAGAGAGAGGAAGATGCGGGAGACAAAGACGGGAGAAACCCCTATGCGACAACTTCCAGCTTCCTTTTGACGACTTCAATCTCCAGGTTCAACTCCTTGACCGAGCCCCGCGCGTCGTCCCCTGCAAGCAACTCGGTCAGCACCTCACCGACATCCCCGACGACAGCGAACCCAGGAAGGGCCTCGTCTAGAACGCGGACAATGTGCGCCGCGTAGTCCTTCTTGGAAACTTTGTACTCGAGCATGGAGGCTTTATCCTCCATCTCCCTGGAGAGCGACTCGAGGGTTTTGGCGGTAGTGAGGGTGGAGGTGATGTTCTCCCTGGCGAGTTCTGCCGTGGTCTTTAGTCTCTGCACGTCCGCCTCAAGGGTAGCGAATTGTGTCGCCAGGTCCTCGCAGGCTCGGAGTGCGAGCGCGGAGTCGGACTCTTGGAGTTTCAGTTTGTCCAGCTCCTGCTGCTTCTCGGATTGCTGGGCGGTCAATTCTTTGAGCTTTTCTTCTGCTGCAGCGATTTTGTCGGCGAGAGGGGTGGCGGTTAGCGGAATTGTCATGCCTATGCCTATGGGGAGGAGTATCCAACCCGCGTGTTTTATCTACGCTCCAATGCATTAGTTACGGGGGTGTAGACCAGGGCGGAGGGAGGGCATACGAGGGTCTCTATGCTATTCGCCTTGTTTGTCGATTTCGCGTTCTTGAGTACTTCCTGGGTACTTTTGAGTTCCGCCGAACATGTGACAAACGCCGCTTGAACCGTTTCGAGGGAGACTTGCACGTCCTTGACTTGCAGACCAATCTCTGTGCCCAGGCTTTCCACGTCGCGGCGGAGGATGGGGAGGTTTGCCGTCTCGTACTCTGCTGTCTATAATAAATTATCAGTAAAATTCTTTAGAACGTTACCACACATCCGCCCGGGGGTGTCCATACCACACCGCATATTCTAGAGACGGCAGCCAAGGCCTTGTCACCCTTACCCCGCACCTTCTCGAACGCCTTAATCATCGGTCTAACCGCCGCCTCCGCCTCCGCCCTCTTCCGTATCCCCGCTTCCGCATCCACCTCTTCACCCTCCCCATCAAACTCCCCAGAAATCACGCCCACCAACTTCCGCAGTCTCAAAAATGCAACCTCCAGCTCCTCCAGCATCAGGCGATTATTCGAAGTGCTAACAAACTCCAACTCGAAACCCGAGTTCTTGGCGGCGATCTGCTGACTGCGCAATAGTCCCGAGACAGCATCCAACTTCTCCAGAAGGTTTGGCGCGGCGGACGGCTCCTGGTCCTGTTGCTCAGGTGCGGGGTTGCAGTTGCGAAGCGCCCCGTCGTGGTTCGTGATGTGTTCGGTAAGGTTCACCTCTACGGGCTTCTCGGACCAGCTTCCATCCCTCCGCTTGAGGTATGCGGAGAGGGTGCGGTTGTCTTTCAACGTTACGTCTTTGGCCGTGTGGGAGAATCTGACGCCGCCCCATTCGAAGCGGCCTTGTTGTCTTGTCAGCTTGCGGCGAAGAGAGGGGTGAGTGTAGCGCGCATACCGTCAGAGTTCCCGAGAACGGTGTTCAAGTCGATTGTCGAGCGGATCCATTCCCCGTCGCAAGTCCTGCAAAGCGCGGAGAGAACTTGGTTCCCGCTCAGACTGATGTAAACCGAGGATTTGTGGTAGGACATTGTTGCCATCGCGATCGATATTTAAGTCTAGCGAAGACTTATCGTAAAGGAATAAAGTGAAGAAGAATAACGATAATCAAGAGGAGAGAGAAAAGAACCAGTTCTTCCCTTTCACAAGAATATAAGAATTGAATTGCTGCTGCTACCAAACTATCATGAAGAAAACTGCCGGGAAATCTCCCATCATTTGTATATCTTCCTTCCATCCGACTCGGACACCCTCTCCGCCGTTCACACGACAAGCACACGCACCATATCCTCGTGCAGTAGCGCAGTTGGTGAGTTGTTCCAACCCGCAGCACCAACCAGCGCACGACTCGGCCAATTGGACAAATCTACGTGCTAAACACCGTACCGTACAGCGCGCGCGCCCTCGCAACCAGTAACTGAAAATTTCCTCATGGCACATTAACACGTTCGTCTACCTCACCATCAAAAAAGCCTTCCTTTTTTTTTCTCAAGTGGCCTGAAGTGAAACGTGGTTCCCTGAAACAGGGGCACCAGCGCACAGACGCGCCGCTGCATGGGATACCGGTCGGCCTTGGCACGACTCGGTTGATTCGTGGTGAATGGGAGGAATAAGCGTCGCTCGTGATAAGAGTCGTGGGGTATTCCATCCCGATACTCGTAATGATGCGGTATTCGCTATTATTCGAATATATTATACCCGAGCAGATGCCTCTTCCCTCTCCCAGCCCAATTCAGGATGATATGGAGGGGCTTATCCAGCCAACAGCCAAACCGGGCACAAATTTTCACCTTGAGTCAATTTCTCTGATTGCTCAGGGAGGAATGCGCCTGATGGTTCCATCTAATTCTTGCAAGCCAATAACTCTCCTCGGGCTCGTTCTTTAATACCGCAAATTGCGCGGAAAACGGATGGTTCGTCGAAGCTCGGGACACCCACCGTGTAATATCGCCCACCCCCACTCGTACTGTCGGGGCGTTTTTAAAAAGGACTACACTTGCGTGCCCCAAAATTTGGCACCTCTTTTCCAAAAACACACTCCGACGCAACCAACGCGGATCAGAGAAAGGGCGGTGCTCCAAAGTGCCTCGGAGAGGCTCCTGGAGTCGGGTTCTCCTCCTCCTCCCTACGTGGGATTCGGTATGCCTCCAATAGTGACAAACCCCGCCCCAAAGTTTGCTCCAGGGTCGGCCAGGCAGCTGTATTGCATAACAATATACGCAAGCCAACATAACTGGAGTGGGGACTTTGTCCGTATCGCATTGCCGGGGATGGCGGTTTGCGGGGTACAGTACTCGAGCATGGCGGAAAGTCAGATGCCCCGGGGTACAGAGAATACGCAGCATAATCCGCGGTACCAGATGTAGCTTTACTTACCGCTCAATTTTCTTGAAAACCCCCCTGGCATATTTCTGCTAGTTATCTCCACCCCGCGTAGTTGACGTTCTGACATGCCTGGCAACGCGGTACTGGACCTGGCAAGGCAGCGCTGTCGGCAGACTATGGTATGACAGCCAGCGAGAGCAGTGCCACTGATTAAGACAGGCTTGACGACCGGGGGGTAAAATTCGCTCTGATTGCTTCCAGCAACAGCTCACCGGCATAGCAATGTGCAATCCCGATTAGCACATTATCACTCCAACCCCGGTTGCAGCAGCGCCCACCTCCCCGCTTTGGGAATCCGGTCTTCGGTGATCCTACAAGTACACGCCGGCAAGGTGGGTTTGTATGTGTGTAATTCGAAAAATTCGACAGGTCGAGAGATACAGCGAGTTGCTTACATGATGAATGACCCGCTTCTCTCGTTCCCACTAAAGTTCCTAGCCGCGTGGAAAGCGCAACTTGAACGTGGACCGGTACGCGTACGAGTACTATCGCTTCTCATCCCTGACTAATGGAGTCCCGCTTTCAATCCACCGAGCCAATACACATGCGGTGTGCGATGCCCAAGGGAGCCTATCCGTGACTTGGAGTATGTGTCTCGTTCTCCAGCTAGAGAACAAAAACGGAAGGAAATCCCCCACGAATATCGCCCAATACTCCAATCTGGACTGAAATAAACACTGCGTCTGTCCTACCAGAAGACAAGATATTACATAAGCAAGGGGCAGCTGCATTTTAACACGTACCGTACAAAACACAGGGGAAGGGGACCGATAATGGGCATAAGTAGCGTACTATATAGGGTGCGGTACCGCTACTAACTTACACCCTATTCATCGCAACTCTTTTGAACAAACTTAAAGAGCGTTGAATATTGGGATTACCGGTATCAATGCGCCCTAACTTGTATCCGATGGCCTGCCACCAAGAAAGTACCATTTCCTCATAATCCAAAGAATTTGGGAGTTATATCCCGCATAATCGAGCTAATTTATCTCACAGAGTTTATTATACTACAAACTGAAAATACTTATCGTCCTTAGGCCGGGGAGTCTACCTTCCTCACGCTTGAAAGCTCAAAGGGCAGGGCAGGGACTAGTCTGTGAGGCGGTGGAGAAATGAGCAAAGGTGGATAGTCTAGGATATCAGTCTTCCCGTGTCGGGTTATCATGCACAGGAAATCATTCACAAGGCATCACTAAGCGGCAGACCCAAGGGACACAAAGGAAACGGTTTTCCAAGACCTGTGAGAAACCTTTATTAAAGGCATCTATGTATTTCAAGAGGGAATACCGCAGCTCTAGCAGCCGGCATAAATGCATTTAAAAGAGTACAAGCACATTTAACCAAGACCGTAAGCTGAACTGCTGCCCGGGTCGTAATGCCCCAATCCGCAAAGTCTTCGGCGCCAAGATAGTGCCAATTAGCCCCAAGGCGTCCCGGTGTCGGTCCTCCCTCTTCGGGGTCCGTTATTGGATGGTGTGTTGCACGTGCCGTATCCCGCCTCTTTACCGTGATAATAATCCGTCGTTATTACTGACTATAACCCGGTGGAGAGTTGACCCGATCGTGACTTGACCATTGCTCTCACTAAGGGATATCAAAAAGCGGAAAGACCAAGACCAATAAAGATATACGAAAGGACCGAGGTCTATACCATAATTGTCATGCGTGGTTCGCTCATCTAACTGGTGGTTGTGGCTTGTTGTGCAAGTGCGTGACAAAAGTGCAGAAAAACATGCAAGAAAAGCTAGCTATGACATGACGATTTGTGGGTGTGCAACCCTCCTCCTGACTGCTAAAAATACCCTATAGGGTTGCCCTATGCCACACCGGTACTCTATCCAGTCTAAGGTAGCCCGATGTACTGATCCAAGCGGTACTTACGAGCTGGTGCGTCCCTGCCCACCCCCGAACCACGAGCCGAAAAGAGGGTGCCAACCGGGGGAGCCATATCACTTAGTTTAGACCAAATCTCTCTCCCAGCGAGCTTATATACTCACCATTGAGGGTCATGCAACTTGCTAGAGCCGCTGGAAATTTAGGAACCAATTGTCCATTTGCACCATAGAGCGGTTCTAGGCATGCTTCATTGTAGCCAGCGTTATTGTTGATCATTCGGATAGTGCCATTTTTATCGCTGAGACCAATCGCACAGTCAGTAAACTTATAATAAAAATAAAGCGCATTATAGACTTACAGGCGGGAAATGTGGTCTCTTAGCCCCTGTATCTGCTGCTGGACTCCAGCGGTATCTTACCCCACGGTAGCAACTTCTTGCTGGATCTGCTGCCACACTGCCATTATTTGAGCCCCTCGATCGAATGCGGGAACGCTGATGACACGGGCGACCTGACCAGTAAGGTCGTGGAGACCTTGTAGAGCAATTTTTGGGGTATGACGGGACGGACTGTAGCCTGTGGTCCATCATTCCGGCAGTGAGCGGGGACTACCTCCAGGACTGGCCGGACTTGACGGACTACCGAGGACTACCGTCCTGCAGCCTGAAATCCTATGAACACAAGGAGCTTGTCAACGACGATGTTTCAACCATTTCTGAGGCCCCTCGCGGTATAATATGTTGTCCTCGGCAGTCCCCGGCAATCCCCTGCCATCCCCAGAAGTCCTCCACCGTCCCCCTTACTAACACTGTTTCACCCTGTAGAGCCCGCTATCCTACCTAAAGACGACTGTCCTCCACTTTTATCGCCCCGGACGGACTGCACATGGCCGCCCATCCAGGGCTCTTGGCAGTCCCCCTGTGGTACCCCGGACGCTTGGGAAAACTGAACGAGGCATTTGGAAGGGGGAAGCTGGATTCGGCTGAACTGCTAGAGTTAAATCTAGAAGAGCTCTCATTCCTTAAATGTTCGAATCTGTGTGTAGCCGCTCTAGCTGCCCGACAAACATGCCACTGCCATACCGGTAAGCTCCCAGAACAAAAGGTCTCACTGGTACTGGCGGATACACAAGCATGGCATCCGGAATAAAGTTAATCTACCGAAAAACCGGGGGTAACCCGTGGAACAATGGCCGGAGAACCCCCCAGGAATCTGGAAAGATCTGGAGTTTGGAGTGGAAAGACGGATCGCGGACTATTCTCGGAGAAAGGAACTGCTTTAAAAACCCCCAGACTGGTTAGCAGAGGGAAACGGGATTATACAGGTGAAGCTGATTGAATAAATACAAGTGGGGAATGGCTATTCATGGGATCCCATCTCGTAGCAGTTTGTCAATTCCCCATCTCCGGCATCGAGAAATAATGCCTGATGTGTCGAGAATTGTGGGTTTGGAAATTTTTGACCGGTTGTGTTCGGGTTTCTAGATTTTTAAATCGCCCAAACCTGAGGCAAGGGGGGGGTGACAGCTCATAATTGAGAAGATTTTCCAGATCGCACCGAGAAAATATGCCAATAGGTGTCGCTTTGGTGCTTCGGCAACGTGTAGGAAAAGTAGGGAAGATATGATCATCAATGGCAAAGACAGAAGCATATGTGAAATTAAGGCATCCTAATCCCTCCAGAGGCCACCACACCTAACCCTGCTCTCCCACCCACATCCCCCCCCCTGCCATACACCCGTAATAGCAGAGCAAGGGCACGTCTGGAGAGCCCTCTCTACGAATCATTAAGGCACTAGAAAAATCCATTAAGTTCACAAGGGATTCACCAGAATCGCCCAATTTCCAGAGTCAACCATAACATTCTGTGGCCCTTCCACACCCAACATCATCCTTCCCATATAATTCACGACCGACGGGAAGGATCCTCATCATCCAGGAAGGCTAGATAACAAAGCTAGCCCAAGATGACCTGCCCAAAGAAGTCACAAGAATTCTCAGTACCTAGTATTGCCTTTTGGTAAAGGAAACTGCGTGATTAAAAGCATGGATTGAAAGCATGGAGCGAACACTCGGAGTCTACAGCAGGGTTAGGGTCTCGATCGAGTGCCCTTGCTTTACCATACTAACTTTAGTACGACACAGTCTGGTGTAGACCCCTTGAAGATACGGGTATGGGCATTGAAAATAATACCAGCATTAAATTTTGATAAAAACTGGAATCAATGAAGCTTGAAACTACGCCAAAAAGTAGATAGCACGATACCAAGAAAGAAAGAAAGTCCCCAAAATGTCATCCCCTGAGCCTCCCGCCCCGTCGCTCAATCATCTCCACTATCCCAGTGGATTTTCTATCAACCACGGAAAGCGCCGTCCAATACGAACGGTTCACAAAGTTGACATTGACATCCTCCCGCTCTAGAAGCAGCTCCACCACAGCCTCGTGTCCAAACCGAGCAGCGGACATCAGTGGTGTGTCGTCAAACATCGTGTCCCGGAGGTTCGGGTTCAAGTCGCTGCGGTCCAAGAGCGTGTTCACCGCCGCAGCGCGCCCGTTCTTGGTAGCCCAGAAAAGCGGTGTCTGGCCGTCACCGTCCCGGGAATTGATATTGACCTCTTTTCGGCCCATTAGTCGCCTCATTACTTCTACGTGACCAGACATCGCAGCGTAGGTCAGTGGAGTTCGGCCGTAAAGGTCGGCGGCGTCAGGGTCAACCTGTTCATGGCCAAGTAAGAGTTTTACTATAGCTTCATGGCCGTTCTCGGCGGCCAGGGTGAGTGGCATCTTTTTCAGATTATCAGGAATTCTAGGGTTGGTTTCCGCTAGGTCGAAAAGCAGCTTGACTACTGACTTGTGTCCTGCTTTGGCCGCCCAAGAGAGGGCCGTTCGGCCATGCCTATCTATCAAATTTGGATCGGCTCCTGGCTCACTAAGCAACATCTGTACTACATCCGCGTGTCCGCTGCCAGCAGCCAACGATAGAGGTGTTCGGGAATCCCCATCCAGCGAGTCTTTCATAACGCCTTCTCTATTAATTAGTAGCTGCACCACTTCCCTATGCCCGTTCGCCGCGGCATGCGACAATGGTGTCTGCCTGCCTCTGTCCCTGGATTCCGGGTTGACAGCGTCACGATTGAGCAGTAATTTGACCACGCAGTCGTGTCCATTTCCAGAAGCCCAAGAGAGGGGCGTTCGCTGTTCTATGAAAGGTGATGGAAGGTCGGGATTGACGTCGTGTCTGGCCAAGAGCATCCGGACGACCGATTCATGCCCATTTCTAGCAGCCCATGAAAGAGAGGTTTGTCCTTGATTTCTATCAGCTTGATCGGCATTGACGCCCTCCTGGGCCAGTAATAACTTTACAACATCCCCATGACCGTTAGCCGCCGCCCATATCAATGGCGTTCTTCCCACGGAATCTCCTTGATTAATATTCCCGGCCCCGATCTCGATCAAAGCGATAGTGAGTTCAGTTATGCCGAAACATGCTGCGAAATGTAGCCCACTGAACTGCTCCGATGACCCTCCCCCCCACACTTGGTGACGCCAGCAGTGCCAACAGTGCTGGTAGAATAGGAACAGGTTAGCGGATACATGGTGTGGATACCGAGTTAGTAGTTCGAGGGCGAGAGGCTGGAGGGAGCTGGTAAACTGCTTCTTCATATGGTACGCCCAGTAAGACGAGGCGTATTCAAGAAAGGGGAATTCTTGCGGGGCGTCGGTGAGAGTGGTGGAAAGGCCTGTGACAGACGGGCAACTCAAATACTTCAGGCAGACTTCCGTAATTGAAACGTGAGGATTCTTAAAGAAGACGGGAGACTCGCTGGTACGAAGGTATTCCTGCAGGGTGGAATGGATAAGACGGATAGTCGATGTTTCATTATCAACAGTGATGAGTCCCTGACAACATGCCAACAATGTTTGTATCGAAGGTATACTGCCGGGGTCGACATTCGTAGGCGGTAGTGGCCCGACTTTTACCGAGAGTGCATGGCACAATTCATTAACACGCAATGGCCGTTCGGCGAGAGATATCCACATTAATACTGCCATCGCTAGCCTTGGCCTATCGCCCTTCTGGCGTTTGATTCTGTCCAACGTCGTACTATACGCATCGCCGAGGTCGTTCACCTTCTGGTAGAGCTTTTCCCTTCTTGCAGAAACTGTGACCTCTCCTAAAACTGCGTCGGTATGTAGGGCTACTAGCAGAAATCTGACATGTTTCAGTACATATATTACTAGAACCACTAGATGCCAATCTTCCAACTCACATCTCGGAAAAGGATTGGGGAATATTTTCGATGATTTCCGACTTTAAATCGTCATCCATCGCGTCAGGATCGGGGTCTTCATCCAATCGCATGGTGAGATAACACCTAATGTCTTCCTGGGTGGGTTGGATGGCTATGATGTGTGGTGTTTTTGTGAGATACCTTTCGATTTCGCCCCGCATATGAGGTCTTCCGGTAAGGAAAAACCGAACATTTGGCGAATTTTGCATAATTTGCTGCAGCGCACGAAGGAGCTTAACCCTATGCTCGGCCAGGAGCTCATCTAGGGCGTCTACGCATATGAATGCCCGATGGAAGAAGGAAAGAATCGTAGAAAAGAGATTCAGCATTTGGGGAAGGTGAGGACTTCGTCCTCCGAGGTGTCCCTTTGCGTCTCTAAATGCTTGTTCTACCACCTCTGGCATCCCTCCTAGCCCTTCCACGAACTGCTTGAGAAGTCCACCGACCAAGTTCGTGGTCACCTGCTCCTTTTGGTCGAGGAAATCGCAATACAGACACGCTACTCCGATATTCTGACCGAGAGTCTCATCGCAGAGAGTATCTATAATGAGGGAACTATTATTTTTGGGGGAGATTAGAATATCCTCGCAGTTTGGGGAGAATCGGCCAGTGATACCTCATGAACGTCTTCCCCACACCTGGGGCGCCGTAACAGAATAAGGTAGCCTCGAAAGGGTCGTCATGGTCGTGGCGCCATTTTTGGAATTCGGAAGTATTTCGCAGCCAGTCTCCGATGCCGCTGAATCGGTGTTCCTGCACGTCGCGATGCCTTCTCTTGGGCTCCAGCGGGGAGAGCCACGAAAGGATCTCTGAGCTCGCGTCGGTTACAAATGTGCATCCAGTGTTGTTATAACTGTTGGAAATGTTGAAACTGTTTGTATTCCCACTAAGGCTCCGATAAGTGCTGTTCCGACTCATATCTTCTGGATTTCAGAATATTGCACGGTGAGATCAATGATGTGAGGAATGTTCTCTCCACCATCCCTGACCTCAATGGCAGAAGGCTGATAATAGTAGAGCATATATATTTACGGGGTCAAAAGTCAATCTGCAGCAGCGCAAACAGGATCCACCACACCTGAAAAAAAAGCAGATATGGTTTTCGATCTCGGCAACGCCATGCATAATTCTTGATAATAGGTCAAGCAGAGCGAGCCGAAACAGGAAACTCTTTGAAAGAGCTGAAGGACGAGCACAATAGATGTGGTGGGGCAATCCTTTTTCCGAGGCCCGACCATAATTCGGTGACACTATGTCTGAGTAAATTGCTCCTAACAGAGTTACAGTAGCATTACTATTACGCATTACCATCTCTCGAAACGCCGAGGTGCATTTGAGTGATAAGGC